CTTATCATATTATCTTATCATATTACCTTATCATATTATCTTATCATATTATCTTATCATATTATCTTATCATATTATCTTATCATATTATCTTATATTATCTTATCATATTATCTTATCATATTATCTTATCAAAGTCTCTTCTTCAACTTCTTCTTGTGAAATTAGCATTTGGAAAACCAGTTTGTCTTCTTTACCGCCTCTAAAAGTCCAGTTTAATCGTCCTCTGCTGGTTGTCTTGAGTCAATACATTTCATAAATTCAATTTATATTACACAGTGTTGTAACCTGTTTTTTGTTTTTGTATTTTTTTGGGGGGGGGGGGGGGGGGGGGGGGGGGGGGGGGGGGTGTCAGAAGATACCTGAATAGGTGGCCTCTGGACTCTGGTGCTGGATCTGGTGCATGCTACTCTTCTCTCATGCACCCCACCCCCACCCCACCCACCCAATCACCTATTTGGTGGCAACTCCATCTGTCTGTTAGCAAAATATCTTATAAAGTAGAGGGCAGATTTTTATGAAACTTTTAGGAAATATTCATTAAATGTGCCTTAACATCTATTTAACTTTTGGACTTAATCCAGTTCAAAATAGCCAACATAGTTAATGTTTACTAACCAACACAAAAATAGCTACAATTTTGTCAATATTACAGGTATTTACAGAAAAATTTGGAATGGTGTGTGAGTGGCATTTCCACCACAAACCCCAAGCACTAAAACATCCATCCATCTATTATCTTTTATCCGCTTCTTCCTTTTCAGGTCACGGGGGTCACTGGTGCCCAAATCCAGCAGTCACTGTGCGAGAGGCGGGGGACACCCATCTTAATTTAAAACTTGGGCCTGGAAGGCAGTGGGTGATGTGCATTCCTTGAAGAAATGCAAGGCTGTAACTGACTTCTTTAATTTTCTTTTAGGAGGATTTAGCTTTATACATGTGATGGAGAAAGCCAAGAATACACCAAAGTCCATGCTCAATAATCCAGGTGATAATCCAACAGTTTTCAGTCAGGTCATCTGGATGGTTTCTTTTTTTGGTGCGAAACGTCTCAGCACAAAAAAAAAAGAAACTGTCCAGATGACCTGACTGAAAATTGTTGGAAAGCCAAGAATGGTTCTCTCCGTGCATGCGTGGGTTTTCTCCAGGTACTCCGGTTTCCTCCCACAGACCAAAAACATGCATGTTCGGCTGATTGGTAACCCTAAAAAAACTGGAGAGATATGATCTATCCCACTAACTCCAGTTAAGACTCTGGCAGCAGCATTTCGGATCAACTGAAGACGTTTTAAAGAATATTTGGACACCCAGATAATAAACCATTGCAATAGTCCAGTCTAGGTGTGACAAATGCATGGACCAGTTTTTCTGCATCATTTGTAGATAAGATGTCAGCAGACACCACCTCCCACCATGCCAGCATCATCTCTGTAGCTGTTCTGCCCCCTTTTGGTCCAACATCTCAAGCACAGTCTGATAACTACCAGCCCCAAATCTGTAGACCCAAAATGTATAACATTTTACAGTTCCAACTAATTCAGTCCAAAATTACACTGCATATATGCATACACTGCCCACCCCACCCCACCCCCAACCCCGGAGCTAAATGAGTTTCAGCCACAGCGATGGATTTCACCATCATGAATGATTTAGTGCTGGATGATCCAGGAACACAGCAGGTCAAGAGAAACTCTCCCCAGACTGAACATGCATACCAACTGTAGGCTCAAGAGGAAATGAAGGTTTTTATTTTCTCAGGGAAAAAATAAAAGCACGGCATTTTTGGAAGGAATTTAAGCATATTGTCCGCAACCTCTCAAGCCTTTAGACTAAGAGCATCTTATGTTGAAAAATGACAGAGTTTAGGCCATTTTGATCAAAGAATAAAAATAAATTACACAATCTCCTTCAATCTTGCACTTGATCTATATGTTTCATAAAAATTCATCAAATAGTTATTGAGATACTGTATTTTGCTAACAACTAATGCCAATGTCTTAAACAAAGATGTTGTGTTTAAAATAGTTCAGAGACAGTGTTCATCCACTACAACATCTTATATATTTCTCAATATCTGTAAAACTAAATATTATGAACACTTTTTGTGTTTGCCAAAATAATTTTGTTGTGGTGACCATCTTGATTTGAGTTTAAAGTGATCAGTCATAGATGTTCATCCAGTGATTATTATCATTAAAATTGTACATTCATGAAATAATTTGCTAAGAATTCAGACTAACCCATCCATCCATCCATTATCTTTACTCACTTCTTCCTTTTTGGGTCGTGGGTGTCACTGGTACCCATGTCCATCTATCACTGTGGGAGAGGTGGGGGACACCCTGGACAGGTCATAAGTCAATCACAGGGACACATAGAGACAAACAACCATTCACACTTTCTCACTCACACCTAGGGACAATTTAGAGTTACCAGTCAGTCTAATAATAATAATAATAATACCAGTCTAAACATACCTGTACATGTTACTGGTCTGTGGGAGGAAACTGGAGTACCCGGAGAAAACCCACGCTGCGCAGAGAGAACATGCAAACTCCACCTAGAGAATCTGATTTGGATTTCTCCAAGTCTGTTTCCCATTTCAGGGAGTCCAAACTGAACTCATGGTATGAACTGAACAGTGTATATATCTTACTAAAGGCCCCCTTGGTGTCAGACATGCATTCCAAAATCCATCCATCCATCCTGATGCATGCTCAATAATCCAGGTAGAAAAATCTAAAAAAGTTAAATCTCGTCCTCTGGACATTCAAAAAACAAAACAAAACAAAAAAAATATAGAAACGTTTTGTCTCTCACCTGAAAGACTTCCTCAGTCTGAGGTGCTGTATTCAGCTCAGTCTCTTAAATAGCACCTTCTCAGAGTGGATCAACCAGTTTTGTTGCTGACAACCAAAACCAGCTGATCACATGCTCAAGAAGGACCATCAGCCTAACAATGGATCATTAGCACACTGATGGCTGTTTACTATTCACAGGGGGTTAAGTGATACTAGCAATCACAGCATTGTAAGAGGGGGACAGTTGAACCCGGAGGCCTCCACCCCTGTTTAATGATGGACGATTTCTTTTCACAAAGATGGCCTCCTTTACTCCTCTCTCAAACCATCGTTCCTCTCTGTCCAGGATGTGAACATCTTCATCCCTGAAAGAGTGACCGCTGGCCTGGAGATGAGTGTAGACCGCAGAGTCCTGGCCTGATGATGTTGATCTTCTGTGCTGGGCCATCCTTTTGGCCAGTGGCTGTTTAAACGTCAGGTTAAACAGCCACTGGCTAGGTGCTATTTATAAGACTGAGCTGAATACAGCACCTCAGACTGAAGAAGTCTTTCGGATGAAAGACAAAACATTTCTACATTTTTTTGTTTTGTTTTTTGAATGTCCAGAGGACAAGATTTAACTTTTTTAGAAATCCATCCATCTATTACTGTATCTTTTACCCACTTCTTCCATTTTGGGTCACGGGGTTGCCGGTGCCCATGTCCAGCAGTCACTGTGCGAGGGGCAGGGTACACACCCTGGACAGGTCTCCATTCCATCACAGGGCCACATAGAGACAAACGAGACAAACAACCATTCACTCTCTCACTCACACCTAGGGAAAATTTAGAGTTACCAATTAGCCTAACATACATGTTTTTAGTCTGTGGGAGGAAACCGGAGCACCCGGAGAAAACCCACACATGCATGGAGAGATGGTAAATGGTAAATGGACTGTATTTATATAGCGCCTTTCTATCTGATCAATATACTCAAAGCGCTTTACACTAGAATCTGTGCCCTCATTTACCCATTCATACAGCACTCTACTAGAGCTTGTTGGATTTCATATTTTTATACCTTTTTATATTTCCTATCAAGCATTCAAATGTCATGTTATACAAAGTGTGTGTGGGTCTTGCTTCCAGGGTTGCACTATATTTATAGTGTACTAATTCT